GTACGTTCGACCAATACTAGCATGAAAATGTGAGCCCAAGAGGTTAGAATAATCTAGTTCGTGAAATAATCTTAAAAAAGCGCGATTTCAAAAAATTACCATATTTTGAAGAGTGATGAATAATGAAGTTATTCAGCCAACCGGTATTCGAAGTACACTTAAAACATGACACGTTACTTTGAGAAAACTTTTCAGAGAAAATTGGACCGTTGCATTGAGTTTTCTTTTGAACTACAATTATTCAAAATTAATCAACTGCTTGGACCGTTAACCATTTTAAAAAGAAAACCACGACCGTATTTTGATGTTTCCGACTGGATTTTTAAATTCTTCTTAGGAAAATCCATATTTCTACACGTTTAAATATTAAGAAAAATCCTTTGGAAAAATCAAACTTGCACGGCTATTCATAATCAACAAGATGATAAAGAAAACCGAGAATGTAAACAAAGTGACGGCAACAATGCCAAAGAGGCAACTTTCTCTTACATTTAATTTTCATAAACAGCTGTTAGGGGATCATGCAGTTTTTACATGTCGGAAATTAAAGCCTAGATTGATGATACCTAACCCCATCTTGCTATTTGAGCTCTACATTACGCGAGACGCTCAACTTTCAAAATCTTTAACTCAATTCTGTTCTTATATGCATTTCATAAATTTTGCTTTCGTTATTGTTGGACATAGTAACATGACGCAAGGACAGATCTCATTATTCTTAGCCAGCCTAAACCAAAAAAAATACGCCCGCCACCTTGAATTTCCAAACTTTGAAAATTTGACCGAAAATTCAAGTTTCCCGCCAAAAGATACACTGGAAAAAAATACATTGGATCTAGAGTCCAGACTCTCAAGAACATCGACAAGAAAATATACTCTTGATTCAATCGGATTTTTGCTTAAATCAAGAATCAAGCCTTTTAATTTGAGCGGATTTCCTTTTGATTAAAGCAAAAATCTGATTGAATCAAGAGTATTTTTTCTTGTCAATGTTTTCAAGAGTCTGGACTCTAGATCCAATGTGTTTTTTTTTTTTTTTCCTCCAGTGTTCAGTATCAAGCATTCAAGCTTCACAAAAATCGATCGAATAGGGTATAGACACAAGTTGTAGGATCAGTAGGACTCAACACAGTAGGGTTCATTTTAATAAAGGGTTTTTTTCACACTTCAAATATCCCTGAGGGGATAATTCCAAGCTTTGTAGCTCTTAGAGCCCCCCACCCCCCACCCCTCAGTCCGCAACCAAGCCAGCCCCAGGTTACCGTTGTTTGCGACCATCAGACTCTGGTCACCTGCAGGCCGGGAATCGAGCCCGGACCTCCCGATCAAACAGGAAGCACTACACACTACAACCACTATTCAACTGGAGGCCGACAAGGGAAAAAGGAGGAGTAGAGTGAAGAGGCGGGAGAGAATAAGAAGAAAAATTATTGCAAGGGGGGACGAACATTTCGGAATGCAAATATGCAAATAAATGGTTTTTGCCTCAAGCCGCGACTAGATTCGAACTATAATTGCAATCTTTTTTCACCCGCCATCACGGCCCGTTCGGAGCCAAAAAACTCCGGTGACAAACGTTTGGATCCAGGAGTAATTTGCTCGTTTGAAAAGCAACAATGATGTCGCGGGCCGCGTGGGGGTGGAGAAAAAACACATTCATCCAATGACGCTAAGGACGTAAATTAGAGCATGGAAAGGGAGGAGCCGAGAGGAAGCAACGCGGATAATATTGGTATAAATAACAGTGCAGTTCCAGACACGATTCCGAGTACGAAGAATTGATCAATTAAAAGCCAGTGTGAAGACAGCAGTTATTTTATACTTCCCTCCAGTCTGCTTTTAAAATAATAAACCCATAAAAATGATCCTTCGTTTTTTGCCGTTTTCATTAGAGTAATGTGTTTTCCGGCTCGGACTCGGATGTTGGCGAGTCGGAACAAGGGCGCATCCTGCCGACCTAAGGAAAAACGCAGTAAGAGCCTTCAGGCGTTGCCAAATTTTCTCTGAAAAATCACTAATTTTCAGAAGAATTTTTGAATATTTTCCAGCCAATTTTTCAGATAATTTCATTTGTAATTTGATCTAAAGTGTCTGAAAATTTCAAGGAAAAATATTCATAATTTTCTTCAATAATTAACATTTTATCCAAGGAAATTTGGCAACTCTCGATTGTTCATTAGGCGTTCTTCCTAAGCACGGCGCATGAATGTCTTTCCGGGTATCGCACCCCGCTTCGAATTGCGTCTTTTTTAGAGGAAAACGAATAAGATATCGAGCTGTAAAACAGGGGACAAATCAAAGTCCTCTGTGCGTTTTTAATTTAACCCTCTATGGAATGAATTAATTTTGAATCCCGACCGAGGCCGGCTTAAGGGGGTGGCCACATGGGTCATGGCCCATGGCGGCAAGTTCAGGGGGTGGCATTTTGCAAGTTTTTTGAATGTAGGTATAAAAAATCGGATTCAGAAAAAAAATTATCAATGAGAAAAGGGGACAAAATTTCTCTTTCCTTAGAGTATAGCAATTCCTAATTTTGTCGTTTTTAGGTGATACAAGAGACAGCATCTTCGATTAGTCGAGTTAAGAGAGGAACTAAACACGCAATTTGGCCTGGAACTTAGCGCAAAGAGGATTGATGACGAGGACTTGAGATGAAAAGGACAAGCCCTCGGCGCGGCGCCGGCGGTCGGAATGTAAAACATATTAGCGCCTACAAGACTGCATGAATACTTCACCCATTGCGCCGAACACAGTGCGGTCAGGAGCGGTGGGCGTGAAACGCATAGCGCCTACAAGACTGCAGGAATACTTCTCGCATTGCACCAAACACAGTCCGCTCAGCGCGGCGCAGAGGCAGAAGTTAAAATTGGACGTATTTCTATCAAACGGAACTAAGCGCCAATTTCAGTTCCTTTTGAGGAATTTAGAATCCCGGATAGCGCGTTCTGCCAAACGGATCTAAGCGCCATGGAAAAGCATTGCGAATATAGGACGGAATAAGCCGGGCGCCCGATTCCGCCGCCAATCCAAGCCCCCCTCTACCTTCCTCACCCTATGGCGCTTAGGTCAGTTTGATAGAAATACGTCCGATTAGTATACCACATTTATGTTTGTTCTGTCATAATCTTTTGGTTCATTTCTTATAAATGGAGAAGCAAAGTTCCGTGAAATTTTGCTAGTGGTGTTGACAGGGCTTTCGCAAAAAATGTATTCAACACGAGTAAGTAAACGCGTCTTATGCACCTCTCTCCCTCCGGCACGTTCACTTGATGGTTTTTATTGATGCTTCAAAACGAATGAGAAGGGGGCGGAAAAATACAGGCGACCCATGGGCGACGAGTAGGTAAATCCGGCCCTGATCCCGGCTTCAAGGGAACTTAAATCTGTGTAGTGGCTTTCGTGAAAACACTGCGTTCCAAATTTTTTCTTGAAATTGCAATTTTTAAGTCATCATTTTTTCAAAAAAGAAAACACCGATGGAACTTTGCAAAACCATGCCACAGAGGAAAGTTTCAAATTGTAAAAAAATTTAAAAAAATGCGTGGTTACGAATAAGTAAAACTATGCCGTAGAGGGTAAAAGAGTTCATTAACCATAGTAAAAATAAATCAGCCTGACGTCAGACTTTGTTTCATAAACTACCCTTTTATAAAGGCTGACATCAGCCTGAATCAGTCTGACTCAGGGTAGTGTATGAAACATAGTCTGATATCAGGCTGACTCACTTTTACTAGAGAAGTTTCGGTTACATGGAGAAGAGAACTTTGCAAAATGGATTCGAAGTTTGGGGTCAAATGGATCTCAGAAGTTTTCGGATTGTGCATCCAAAACCTAGAGGTCTCATAAGAGCCTAGGGCCTGGATCGATGAGTTGATGTTTTGTTTTATTTGTGTTACTATTTTCCATTTCAAAAAGGAAGTCTGCTTTGGAAATACCTAAATTTCAATGAAGAGATAAAGTGTATTTTTGACTGTGCACGGAGCAAAAACTTCGTGCGTGAGATCCGAGGTTCAGGCCATGTTGATCGTCTATGAAGTTTCCGCATCGTATATTCGAAAACTTGAGGTCCAGCTGTCAAAGTTTTAATCACAGACCTAAAAAATGTCGGTGCTACGCTTAAAATTTCTACGAAGTCAACCGAAGTACCGAAGTACGTCAGATACGTGTGATCCTATCTTTGGCCGCTGCACGTTAAGTTTTGAATATACGATCGAAAAACCTCAGAGATCCGTACAACCTAAACTTCGGGCCCCAAGCCTGATTGGTTTTTCTCCACGTACAGTTAAACAGCAACTTTATCTCATAATTGAAAAGGTATTTCCAAAACAAAGAGACTCCTTTTTTAAAATTAACTTTCCTTTTTGGAATGGAAAAATGGAAAAGCAAATAAAAAGGAACCCATCGATCCAGGCTCTAGGTTTTTACGAATGCGTCAACGAACCGAAACATCGCGAAGTTAGTGGATGATTATGACTTCATCATGAGTCAATTTAGTGAGTTATTACCGTAACTTTCCCCTCTAACTCAGCGTCTCACAGTCTAACTATTTTTGAGACCTCAGCTAGTAATCCAAGCAGTGTAGACGAGGTGATATTCCCGTATTTAACATGTTTTAGTGTTCAGAAATTACACCTAAACATTACCTGAAACAACCTACATAAACCTGGAGATGTCTCATAGGAGTTGCATGTCCGCTTAGAAGCTTGGAAAGTTCCACATTTGTCATCGTAGGTTAGGTTTCCCGCTTTCGCAGCTCGTCACTGATAAGGCGTCATAAGGTTCAACCTATGGAGAGCTGTCAGTGCGGTTTCCCGAAAATATTTGGTCTAGATTAATCCCTCTTTTCCGCCGATCGATGGAACCGAAGAAAAACAACCCGGGTTGAACCGGGGGGATATGACGCGAATTTGGGCACTTGATGAGTAACTGAAGAGGACGCTGTCGATAAGATAAGAGATTGTTTTTGATGAAGCACTCTCGCGAACTCGAAAGTATTGTGAGAGGAGCATAAATAGCTTGAATGAATCGGGGCACTCTGAATCAATCATCGATGGGTTCGTGTTGGTCGCCTTCAAAACGCGTCGAATCCCATTGTTTAAAATGATAAGAGCCGTTTCTCGTGCAGTTTGATTTTTCCTCCTCCGTAATGGGTCGACGAATAGACAATTGTGTGGTTCCGACAATTTTCTCCGGCGGCGCCGGAACAGTTCCGAATTCCGGCGTGAGGCGCATGGAAGTTAAACGTGTGCTTCGGTGACAGTAATTACACATCGCGCTGATTATTATCTTGCTCTACACCGAGGGATTCCAACCGACGACGGAGAAAGATGTTTTTCAAAATCTCCAAGGGCATCCGCCGACAGTTACTAGCGGCTTTTTGCTGTGAGTGTTTTTGTAATATTTTACTTGCCGGTACCCTCTCGAAGGTGCCCCATTCAATTTTCCCCCCAAATATGTGGGTATATCATGAAAATTGAAACGTTGGGTGCACAAAGAGCATTTCTATGTTGCCGTGTTTCAGAATCTACACTGTTCACTGAAAAAAAAGGTGCTCAGCTTAAGCATGATGATTCTTGAATTTGCCGCCAAGAATTTTTTTTTATCTTCGTTTCAGCTGCATTTTTTTTGATAAAAGATAAACAATGCTTGGATTATGCAAATAAGTAGTTTATAATGAGCAGCAAAATTTTTGATTTAAGAAAAAATAGTTCTTGGCGGCAAATTTAAGATTCTTTTTTTCAGTGTAATTTATATTTAAGAGAAGAAATTATTGGGCGAATTTTTCGAAATTTTTAGTCTTCAGAATTGCAAAATCATAAAGAAAATTCAGTAAAATTTTTGGCGAATTCCATAAATTTGCTTTAATTGTAATGGATGAAACGTTAAAGGAGATCGTGAGATACCGCGACTAGGAAATGCCCTTTCTGCACTCAGCACCTTAATTGGTTTTGTTGTGGGTTTGGATGTTTGAGTAAGAATTAATGATCATGTAGCATCGCATCCAAGTTATTGGACTCAATGCTCATCGTTGAACTTTTACGGCTTCGATTGCTTCATGATGATAGAAAATTGCGAACTTTTCTCATCTAATCATACTCGAGCTAACCTAACCTAACCAACTCGCAGTCTACAACACGAAAACGTATAGTTTCCGTCTTTACTTCGCCAAAATTGTCTCTATTTTGGAATTTTTGGACTCTATATGCTCGCCTAATGTCAAAAATTACCCGCAGCCCTGGATTTTGGGGGTTCTGCCCACCTTGATGTTTCACAAACAATATCTTCCCATTAAAATGAGCATGGAGTTTGAGATATTGGACGTAATGAGCAGCTGAGCATTATAAGGGTGAGAATGGAGTCCAATATCATGGACACAATGCTACATTACCTAATTGATGAATTAGATTGAGGCAATGCAAGCGGTAAAATAAACTTTTTTCGCACAAGAATTCCTTAAAAAGGCTGTTTAAAAATGTCTTGGGACAACTTTTGGCTGTGAAACATTTCCCTTTTACCTCGGGTCGGATCCCGATTCTCTGTTATTAGATGATTCCACTATGTGTGATTTCCACTGCGATGCCTCGGTTGAAACCAAACTGAGATGAAAACCCAGATCACCGGCAAATCGGTGGAGGTAGATGCAAGTTTCGCGGAAAAAAAGCTGGAAACCGTTCCCGGTGGCTCTTCAAAGTGCGCGTGACTTACGTTTATACCGCCGTGCTAAGGAAGAACGCCGTATAAGCCTTCAGACGTTGCCAAGTTTCCCTCAATAAAAACCGAATTTATTAGGAAAATTGTGAATATTTTTCCCCGAAATTTTGCACGCAATATAATCTAAAATATCTTAAAATTTCAAGAAAAAATTTGCATGGCTACCGTCAAAAATACATGTTTTATCAAGAAAAATTTGGCAATTCTCGAATGTTCATACGGCGTTCTTCCTTAGCACGGCAGTATAGGTGCAAGTGCGGTATGTGTGCTTTCCTATAAAGGTCTTTTGGGAAAGTAGATTTTAGCTTAATTTCTGGGAACGGGACTTTTGTGCTCACCTAAATCTCTTAATTAGTGGATTTTTCGAGAGTCCGTACTTAGCCTCTCCGGTTCCACTGATAATCAGGTAGACGGGATCAAATCTTTGCAAATCATCTTTCATCTTTCCAGAGAATTATTTTTTATTAAGAATATGGGATTGAGCAGCACAATACGTATTAATTCACACAAAGCGGGCACTATAAAATAAACTCGTTGTGTTTCGTAATTTAATAATTTTTCCCGCGTCTTGAACTTTTCTCGACAATAGAACGAATGCCGGTCACTATTGGCAAATTGAAATTATGCCAAGCAAAATTCTGATAACACGCCGAACGAATGGAAATTCTTTGTATGACCACTTCGACCTCATTAACCTCGGTTTTCTCGCAGGCGGGAAGCCTAAATTGACTCCTCATAATGTAAATAATGACGTTTATCTCTCCCTTAAAAGTCAGCTAAGAACAGTTTTAATGTATTTGATGACTTGTTCAGCAGCATGAAATTTTGATAGGGAGAAATGCTTCAATCTACTTTGATTCTTACCATGTCCAGTGGTCCATTGGTCTCAAAGGACTTGAACTGCTGATGATTATGCGAAGTTGAATCCTACTTCACTCCTCCTTCATGACTAACGGCCAAAAACACGCTTGCTTATATACTTCTTGGATAATGGTTTTCACATCAAAGACAGCATACAATGAATGACAATATTTGGCGAGAAAAAAAATTACCCAATGATGTTAATGAGCTATTCTTCTGAAAGGAAGGAGGGGCTTGAAAGAGCATCATGGAGCATGATGCAGATGCGCTATTCTTCACCTCATCCTGGAAATTCCATACATTTCGTCAACTAACTACTACAGTCGTGCTGACGCCCCACCGTTCCAAAATTTGAAGACCCACAAAGCAATTGGGGGTTACATGCTAGGGGTAAAAGTTGACCTAAGTATCTTGTCTGTGAAACATCAACTTTAGAAAATTAAATCATAGGAGTAAGCAAAAACTCGTTAAGCACGCCCAAGTCTCCGTATCTGAGGATGTATTCGTGCGGAGACCTTTTAAAAATCATATTGGTGCTCAATGGTTTCAAGAGGCAGCCAATCATTTACGCGTTAAATTGAAGGAAAAAATACGACATTTTTGTCTAATAAAGGATTTTGATCTGAATTATATGGTCTAAATGTGTTACTGATGAGCTTTTTATTCAGCGTGGGGCTTGATAACACAATGCAAGTTTGATAAACTTTGACTTGGGATTAAAGCATGGGGAGAAATATCTCAAGAGCCTCAGGTTTGAGAGCACAGATTATTGCGATTTTGAGTTGGAAATAAAACGGTTGTTAAAAACAAATTTAGAATGATAAGAAAAGTAAACAAAAGCTGAAGTACTTCTAATTACGAGTGAAGTATTTTCTGGATAGTGGCGCCTGATAAGTTCTCATATACATATAATTCATCATATTTCAGAAGTCTGCATGTTCAAATTCCTGTAAAAAGTCTTCGTGGAGGATTTCTACAAACTAAATGAGATATATTAAGCAACCCATGGAGGAAAGTAATTTTGCATCAGGCAAATTTAATAATTTTAAGAATCTTAAAATGATCAAATCGATCGCGACTCGCTCTTTTATGATGGTATGTAGGCAAAACAGACGCAATAATTCCCGTAGATTAACTTTCACCATTTTTGCAATTATTTTCTCGAACATTCAACATGAGGGATTATTTCCTTTTCTTGGATTAGGTGGATACTATGTAGGATTATCTTATCGAAGTAATTTGAATAACAACCCGTATTAGGTACTTCAAATAGCTATACTGACGTGACGGTTGTGCTCAAAGATATCGTACGATTCGTGTCCACTTCTTTCAGCTTTGATTACTGGAACTTCGAGAGGCAGACTTTTTCAAGAGGATTAAATAACTAATTTAAATAAAACATATCATGGAGATTATATTGAAACAATTGTAGGAAAAATGAAGAGATCGCCTTGCACTGCTAGAAGTACTTCATGTCGAGACAGCCTCATTAAGTGTGTCTGATATAGAGAAGAATAAACAGTGAACTCCAACATAATGTGTTAATAGGAGCATCATTGATGAATGTATGAAGTTGAATATTTTGATTTTAAATCCCTCATGAAGTATGTAAAATGCCCAGTCACAGATCTACAACGGTTTCCACAGAGCTACAGAATTTCTACGAACTTTTTTTAGGACCATGAGTGGTGTAGATAGCCTGTAATTAAATTAAAATTATATGTGGCAGGTTCATACATTTAAAATCGAGGTCCAAGTTACTTAGGCATAAGATCATCGCATAATTCTCTAAATGCGGTAACTGCTCTTTTACGTGATAAACATTTTTCTACTGAACAGTTATCATTCAGGATGAGCGAGTGTTGATTAGGAGAATGGTTTGAATGTCGAAGCAAAATTTTTGTCTCATCCATTCAAATTGTTTGAATAACCATTGCTGGGTCTCTTAAATTTGTTTGTGCCTGGGCCACGGCACTAAAACTGCGAGTATTAGCGCGTGTAGGAAGAAGCTAGTCGATTTTTTGAAAATGTATTTATACTGAGTACAAAGTGAGTACTTCAAAATACGAGGGGCGTTCAATAAGTAAGTATCCCCCCTCTCTAAAATCAATAGGAATGAACCAATTTTCAAAAACTTGGGCTCAAAAACTTCCTTAGGATATACTGAGTTCAACAAAACAAACCGCAACAAAATCGGACCATGTGCGGCCGAACGCGAGCCGTTTGAACGCGCCGAGGTGCACACCGCTCCCGCCAAATCCGCGGAAATTTGAAGTCCGCGACAAGAGAAGAGCTTCTCTGCCAACGCTTCAGTCGTTCATCACTGACGAAAAATCAAAGAATTTTTGTAAAATAAAGGGCTTACCTCACTTCTCCACATAACCAGCTCGATCCAAGCAGGTCTGATACTGATTGTGAGACTAATAGAACAGCTTTTGGATACCGCGCGTGTAGAGGTCTTTCAACTGGCTGGGGATGAAAGTGTTGACGGCTTGTTTGACCTCTTCCGCTGATTCAATGAACTCCCCCAGTTCAGATTTCAGAAAAGGGAATAAATAGTGGTCTTTCTTGCCATTTATTACCGTAATTTTCGTCGGTGATGAACGACTGAAGCGTTGGCAGAGAGGCCCTTCTCTTGTCGCGGACTTCAAATTTCCGCGGAATTGGCGGGAGCGGTGTGCACTTCGGCGCGTTCAAACGGCTCGCGTTTGGCCGCACATGGTCTGATTTTGTTGCGGTTTGTTTTGTTGAACTCAATATATCCTAAAGAAGATTTTGAGCCCAAGTTTTTGAAAATTGGTACATTCTTATTGATTTTAGAGAGGGGGGATACTTACTTATTGAACGCCCCTCGTACTAAAATATATTATAACTGATTTCATGTTTAAAAACAAGTAAGAGTTTTTACGGTCAAATAACTGGTTCCTGGAAAATTTTGCTTGCTTTTTTTGTTTTTCACCCTCTCCCACCAGCTTTGTACGAAATTAACTTATCTGCTTATTTACAAAGAGCGATGGAGAATTTGTAGGTGTCTAAAATTTGATGAATTTCATATTTAATTGGAAACTACTGACTGAACTGAGCATAAGATTATCATTGGTTTCTAAACTGAACAATTATAGGAGGAGATACGATCAAATGATCGAATCTGCTTTAATAAATGTGTTAAACGGGAAATTCCACCTGGCGACTTCACAAGGCGATACATTTTCACACTTTTAAATCTATTTTCCGACAATTTTCCATGTATATATAGTCGCTTTAAAACGCACTCTGGCGTTCTACGACACCCAAACGCCACATATGCCTGTCTTCCCAGAGGTTATCGGGCAACTGACACCGCAACATCTCTTCGTCAACGCCCTGCCGCCAACCCTTTACGGGACGTCCCCGTCGCCTCTTCCCAGGTGGAACCCAATCCAAAACTTGTTTGGGCAACCTCTCCTCCGACATTCTTTGCACATGTCCATACCAGCATAACTGCCTGGACATGACGTCGTGCACGATATCTTTCTCAACCTTCATCACCTGGCGAATTCTCTCATTACGGACACGGTCCCGTCTCGAAATGCCGGCAGATCGCCGCCAAAAATCCATTTCAGTTGCCCTCAACATTTCTTGCGTTCTTTTCGTCAAAGGCCACACTTCACTATACCATAGAGCACGATACTTTTAACGATGGAGTCATATATCCGGTGCTTGTTTGCCTTTGAGATGCTCTGATCCCAGAGCACCCCGTTCAGCATCGCGATGGCTCTCCTGCCCTGGATGATCCTGTCCTTAATTGCTCTATCCATCCTTCCATCCTGATCAAGCCAGACACCGAGATACTTGTGCTCATCACACTCTTCGATGCGCGCGCCGTCCATCCTCAAGCTCTATGCTTTGCCGTTGATGCGCTGCTCCCACGACCAGCTTCTCTGTCTTGGACACACTAACGTCCATGCCCCATTTCCGATATTCTTCGACCAACTTCCGCATCATGTAATCTGCATCTTCCTCATCTTGAGCTACAACGATCTGGTCATCGGCAAAGCATAGAGTATAAAGGGTCTGCCCATCAAGGAGTGGAACGCCCATTCCTGCAACCTTCTTTTTCCATTCCTCTAACACGTGCTCTAGGTATACCTTCACAATTTTCAATTCCGTACAATTTTCCATTCCGGAAAAAAATTATAAGAAATGCTACAAACTTGACTCATTGCGGACTCTCAGATGAAGCAATTGAATTCTTCGCAAGCAAATTCTTCACATTGAAAAAAAAAATTACGGGCTGTGCAGATATTCCATCCGTTCCGGGATCAGGGGTCGAAAGTTCCGGGTGCTGGAGTCGTAGCTTTGATAGTTCCGGTTGCTGCGCCCGGAACTTTCGGCTTCTGAGCCCGGAAAACAAACGGTTTGTCTATATATACATATATATATATATAGCCCATAGGTACGGATTCCACGACCGGAGTTTTTTTCCGTGCATTATGCTGATTTAATCTAATGGATAATTTTATCGATGTGCAGGTTGCATCGGTGCGATGACTCTAGGCGCAATCGCAGGATGGTCAGCGGCCGCATTCCCTAAAATCCGGAACAACGAGCTGGAGTTCCGGCTCTCCTTGTTCCAAGAAGCCTGGGTGATCAACGCCTTCTACATCGGGATCATGATGGGCCCCCTCCCGGCCGGGATCATGATGGACGCCATCGGGCGGAAGTCCACGCTCCTCTTCTTCAGCACCTTCGCCATCACCAACTGGACCCTGGTCACCCTCGCCTACCACGAGCACATGCTCTACCTGGCCCGCTTCTGCGCCGGGCTCTGGGCCGGCAGCGTCACTACGGTCGTCCCCGCCTTCCTCGCCGAGGTCCTCCAGCCCAACGTCCGTGGGAGCCTCGGCACCATGTACTTCATCATGTACTTCGCCGGGAACCTCTACGAGTACATAATCGGGCCCTACGTGACCTACTTCACCTTCGGCATCAGCTCCGGGCTCCTGTGCTTCGTCTTCGCCACGAGCTTCGTCTTCATCCCGGAAACGCCCTACTACTACATAATGAAAGGGAAGCGGAAAAAGGCCGAGGCCTCCCTGCGCTGGCTCCGCGGCGACGAGGATGTGAGCGCCGAGCTCGAGAGCATCCAAACCTACGTTAAAACTTTCATGAAGCGCCGGGGCAGGTTCAAAGAGCTCATCCTCAACGAGAACTACCGCGCGGCATTCATAAACGTCCAGGCGGTTTATTTCATTCAGAAGCTCTGCGGAATGTTCACCGTCCTGGCGTACTTGACTTTGATCATCCCCAGCCAGGTGGGGCCGCTCTCCCCCGAACACTGCACCCTGATCACGGGCGTCGTCCTGTGGCTTTCCGTCTTCGTCGCCACCTCCTTGATCGACCGCGTCGGCAGGAAGCCCCTCTTCGTCATCTCCAATATCGGCATCATAATCACGATGACCATCACCGGCGTGTGGTACTTTTTGAACGTCCATTCGGATATGGATCTCTCCAGCACCACTTGGATCCCCTTCTCGGGTCTCCTACTTTACGGTGTTTCATTTTGCCTCGGCGTCGGGCCCATCGCGTCTCTCTATCAAGGGGAGGTTTTGCCTTCCAACATCAAAGCCCGGGCCTCTACCGTCACGGCAATCATCTCCGCGTTTGCCTCCATTCTCAACACCACTTTGTTCGCAATTTGTGCCAGTTATATCGGAATGTACATCAACTTCTTCTTGTTCGCGCTCACCTCAGTGTTCGCTCTGTATTTTGCTCAGTACCACTTCATCGAGACCAAGGGCAAAACCCTGCAGGAGATTCAAGAGGAGCTCAGGAAAAAACCAGGTTTCAGTCGGGAGACTTCTGTTAACAGTAATTATTCTACGGTGAGCTCCCTTCCGGCTATCTACACTGTACCCATCGCGCGGACTCACTCCCTTGAAAAATCCGCCATCGCTAATTCTCTCGCCAAGAATGCATGAAGGCTTCATGATGCTGAACGATTATTACGGTTGCGCAAGAATGAATACTCAAAATTTGTTATTCTTGATGCAATGAAAGCGGCAACGGAGCAATTGAGAAATTGCAAAGAAAAAGGCGAAAAAGGGCGAAGAAAAAATAGACAAATGAGATGCGATTGAGCAATTAGGCGAATTGTTTTAGTGGAAATGTAAATAAAAGAGTAGTTGTTAATCTTGGCAATGACTGGAGACCAATGTATTTTCAGCACCTTGAAAACTTGATTGAAAAGCAATGTTGATAGAAAACAAGGAGAAATGATGAGAGGGTAAAATTTTATGAATGTTAAATTAAGTTCGCGGGAAACTCGCAATTAAAACTGGAGTTTCAATTCATCTTGGGTTGTTGGAACCATGAGATTACGATTCATCGTTCAAGTCTCATTGGATATTGTGGTATTTATGTCTCATCGTACCCTGGTTAATTTGTTGTATATTCATTGATAAAAAAAAAAAAAAAAAAAAAAAAAAAAAAAAAACTTTTGATAAGTGTATGTCTAGTCTAATTGAAGTTTTAAAACTATTGTACATTCTCTCGAAACATTTTTGCTGAAACATGCTACAAAGTAGCTATTTTAGGGCCGAGTTTGATACTTCAAGCTTCCTCGATCATCCTTGGCATGTTTAGTCAATTAGTCATTTACAATATCCGCAAAAAAGGTTAAAAAGATGAGTAAGTAATTCCACTGATTGTGAGTTCCTTTGCGACAGGATAACCCCTTCAGGAATTTTGTGGGCTCTTAGAGGGGGGAGGGGAGAAAGAGAGGGAGATAGAGAGAGAGAGAACTCGGAACTGCATGTGACAAAGACTGATTAAGATGGCCACCTGAAAATGGACCATCGGGGAAATTCTATTTTCTCATTTTCCATTTCATTTCATTTTATGGCAAAGGTTCCGAAGCGAGCCTTTGAGCAAAGGAGGATCCAAAAATACTGTGGCGTTCCTTCTGAATATAAATCCGCTCGGATCTCTCTTTCAAAATTAACACAGTTTGAGGGGTCACGCCGTGTCAAAGCTCACCACATCATTATCCTTTCCGGGTTACATGTCGAACATGTACATTCTCGGAAAATAATTTAGCTGGGGCTCAAAGCTCACGCATAAATAGCATGAGTGTCTCATAATCTCGTTGCGCAATGAAACGCTGACACTCTGCTGTGAAAATGAGTCCTAATATTACTCGGAAAGGAATGTTCAAGGTAGGCTTGGATCTTGTTCCTGAAATCGGTACATTTCGTTCCTATTTCATCATAATAAATCTTAAATCGGAACTTATTTTAAACTAACCATCCGGTTACAAATTTTCAGCATTTTGTATTGTTTAAAAGTGTAAATACGATAATAAAAGCCTCGTTAAACTGTTTCCACCTGCGTTCCACTTGTCCATACAGTTTTGTCCAAACGGAACACGTTCATGATTTTCACAAACATTACAACAATCGAACAGATTCACCTAGAATCAGCCTAACAACATTAGGCTTGCTGCCTAATTTTCTCTCTCGTTTAACCCTAGTCTGCCTGAGTGGGGTCAGATTGACCCCACGGGAGTTTCAACTCTTTGCCATTTCTCGTGGTATGCACGAAATTTTTTGTCCTTCACAAATAGCTCTACAAAAACATCTAGGAACACGATTTTGAAGGGGGGAAAAAAAAAAAATTGCATGAGAGATCAAAAAATTCACGAGTACCCCTAGAAAGCCTGAGCGGGGTCAGATATCCTTATAACATATATTTTACCATTTAGCATCACAAAAGCTTACTTTGAAGGTGTATTCATTTTTCTCTTTTTAATTTTTTTCCAAAACTTATAAAACAAGCAAAATTTTTCAGATTTTTTTCGTTTTCAGTATTTAGTAGCTCTATGATTTTTTTTTCTCATGCTGAGAACAACAAGGCAACATGTGTATGATAAAATGGTTGCATACCCTGCGCCGTGTTTTTTTAAAACTTAGATATGCTTTATGGTTAAGGCCTGTAAGGTTAGTACACTGATATTAACTAAAAACATGAAAAAAACATAGCTATCTAATTGATTTTCAGCTGGGGTCAAATTGACCCCGCTCAGGCTTTTTCGTTGGTTCAGAGGCTCAGGCAGACTAGGGTTAATTGTTTTAATGTATAAAACGAAGCAACATTTTGAATTTACTTTTCTGGATATTTTCCTCATAATCAAAGGGAAATTCATCAATAGGCTCATACCCATAGGCTGACCATTCTTTTTCTCAGTAACCTGATGAATACAATAAAAATTGCGATGACTTAGGCAGCGTGAAATCCAATTACGCTGACACGTAAGACTCTACTTGACTCTACTACAAAATGTAAGGATTAATTTTATTATTCCATCATTTTATTAACATTAAGTTACTGTCATCGTGTGTCAAATAAATAACTCTCTTAATTCCTAAACAAGCGACAGATATAGGCACAGACAGAAATAAGAGGGACAAGCGACCAATGCATAAGTGGACTACATTTTGCGATAAAGAATAACTATTTGTGGCTCATTCATAAAAGCACCTATTTGCATGGGGGAACTAATGGCACATTTGCTATTGCTTGGATGAGCCAAAAACAATGGTTCCTCATTGCGAAATGCAGTCTAATTGACATCATCGAGATTCCTTGGTCGTTGCTCCCATGTAAACTTGGTGGAAAAAAAACCACTCAGAGACCTGACCTGCTTATCTGATTATATATCCGGGCTCTTAGCGCATGCAGTCTCGAATCCTAGTGATAATCAATCAATTGTGCTTGTGCGCTCGTGCTAATTCGCAAATCATTCCTAATTGAGTTGCCGGGGAGATACGTTGAATCTAACGAGCGAGATCAGGTCCCGAGCGGGCGTCCTTACTCTCAGTTGATCTCCATGCAGTTACGAGTGCCGACAATGTGTTGATACATCCAACCATGCAGCTTAATGAGGGTATCACGCTCTGAAATGTCGCACCTGTCTTAAAGACCCACATCGAGACCTCACATACTAATTGTAAGTTTTGAGGCGATGTCGGAGGGTTCGCGCGGAACGCTACAACGTAATTGAATTGAACTAGTACGTTGCGATTGTGACGCTGATATTGCTATCACAATTTTTACGCTTGACACTGAATAGGCAAAATATGTCACAAGATGGAAACTCTGAATTTTCAGTGCGGCGGGAAATCAATCACAGATTTTCAGTTTTCAATGCAAGATGCTTTCTAATATTCTCAAGAACATCGAGTTCAGATACTTTGCTATGATTATGTTATTTTTCTTTATAAAATTGAAAGAATAGATGAAAGTGACTTAGAGCATTGTTATTTTGATCTGTTAGGATGGTTTACATGTCATCCATGTGAATAACCCCTTGTGCAATTGTAGGATTTCTACGTGTGCTCGTAGCGATTTTCTTGGATGATGTTAAGTTGGCAAGAATCGAAAACAATAGTCGGGAAATATTTTTGAGAGACATGTTGGCCTCGTGGAAGGTCAAAGGTGGGAGAAACTTCGTGTTTTTTGGATTATTATGTAAAACTTTTTCTTGTACTCTGGAAAATGCTAGAAGAAATTTTCTACTTTCCTACGGACAGATGGTAAGACGTGAAGGTTAAAGGCATTTACTGTTAGTGATTGCAAGCTGAACAAATTTTTGAAAAAATACTTGAAGTTATTATTCAGGTGAACTGGAACGATGCAGGAGTATTCCGATAAGTTTAGAGCTGTCGGTGTGAGTTTAGAGTTAAATTAGACCCACTAATCCTCTGTGTTGAATCAAAGCGTCATGCGGACGAAAATCGCTGTTCAATTATGGAAACAACTCATCAATTAAAGAGGGGACTCTTCGACGATAAATGAGCCTCCTGGCCTTGAACAAATTAAGTCTACTACTGGATTTTCTTCCACTGTTGTCCTGTTGCACAGATTAACTCTATAATAATTCATCTAGTGACTGGTATAAAATAAATCAAATCCAAAACAACTCAAACTTTCTCACTCTGAGGTGGAAAAATTCAAAATTATCGACACATTATTCAAGAGAAAAAAAAAACTGGAAATACATAACATTGTCGTTTAAAAAAATTTCAGAAAAACAACAAATTGGTGCAAATTATGAAAGGAACTTTCAAGGAAGTAAATGTAGGATCCTCTTAATTTAAAATAATATAGGAATGGGAAATTTTCTTCGTCCACAATGGGAGTGCATATTAAAGTCATTTTGTAAAATCGAAATTAAGGCAGTATCCAAGCAACATTTCATTGGCAGCATTAAGCGGAGCAATGCAAGTTTACGATTTACGCCATAGCGCCTTCAATTTAGCAGACGCAACACAGACATCCATGAAGTACGAATAGTTGTATCTCTGCGCCGTTGGAAACGCTCATCTATTTCCCTTGCTGTATTTCTATGTTGTGTTGGTTCCGTTTGTCTCCTTTGTGGTGAGGCTTTGAGAGCCACGTGAGCAACACAGCCGAGGATAGGAGAGACATAATTGAGCCTCGATCTTTAACTTTTCCCCCGAATCTGAGCAACACCTCTTTGGCAGCACAGAGTGGAGCATTGCGAGTTCACGCCTCGCTCATCGCGCCTTCAATTTTGCAGACGCAACACGGATATTCATCAAACACGAATAGTTGCATCTCTGCCCTGTCAACTCACGTTGAGGTCTCTTATTTTTAAATTTTGGAAAATTTAAGGTTAAGTTTGCTCAAAATATGCCATGATCCATCTGAATCGATGATCATCGTAAAAAAAAAAGAGTAAAACGTGTTTAAAGGTTTCTAAGGCGGCCCAAAGGGTGCACATCTAAAAATGTATAGTTTGGCGAGAGTTGTGTCGTGTCGGAGAATCCCTCCCCCCTCCGAGAAAAACAACTGGAAATCGCATGCCGGGTCAAAAGGGCTCGATTACCTCCTCTAGGGGAGTTATATACGGCAGATGTGGAGAAGAGGTGAGAAAGTGACAGTAATTTACTGAAAAGGTGAAAATTTAATAAAAAAAAAAAATATGTATTTTTTACCTTCAAAAACACAGAAGTAACACGGACAGTACTTCAAAAAACTATCAAAATCTATATACATATTTAGAGGAGGGTCACTTTAACCCGACTTGAGACTTTGCGAGGATAAAAATATTTTTTCGCATCTAAGGGTTAATATCGGACAAAAAACGTGGTGATTGAATGAACTGCAGGACATGGAGGTATGGATTCATTTTTATGGACCTACAAAATTAAAAGATTATAATTAAATACGATGATGTCGAACGAATTACGACTCGTTGGGGGGGGGGCGACCCCCCTATATTGCCTTATATAGCCTTATATTGCCAATATAGGCAATCCTATATTATGCCTTCAGCTAATTGGAAGAAAAAACATTCATTAGATTGAAGAGTATCTGGGTTCAGAACCATCGATTAGAATTAATTATATAAATTATCGACAACTTCCGGTTCGTTTTCAGATTGATCCTTCGCAACAAAGTTGTCATTGTGTAAAGTAATGTGTGCCAGAATCAGACAGGTAAGTAGTGTTTTTTGTCGTGAAAACTGAATGAATTCACGTGATCAACACCACTTTTCAACTTGCTGGAGAGATCATTTTAATTGGAGAGGTATGATTACGTTTGACGTCCGTCAAGATTAAATTGTGCTTTAAGTGCCTCTTCAGTCTTTAAAGTTCGTGTACCAAGCACAAAGTTTCCCTTTTGTGCTTGGTATTAGTTGGTCGAATTATTAATTAATCAAAGGTTTTTTTTTAAAGAATGAGTTTCTTCGGATCGATGTAATGCGAATGCCTGCATTTTCCTGCTTTTATTTTGATAAAAAGATGAGAAAGATACTTTCAAAGGAACTAAAAGTTCCATCCCATTTCAAATATGTGACAACAGATTTCGTTACGTCACGCGAAAAATTTACGGCCTTCTATCGTACCTTCACATGCGTTTACTCATCTACTTATTTAGGTCGCAACTGTAACGAGAGGTTATGTATCTTGACCGCGCTCGCGATATTATTGCTGTTTAAAGTGAATATTTTTGACTGTACATAATAAAATCGTTTGCTCATAACTTGAATTGCACAACAGTTGCATTCGATTCAAAATGATTAAAACCATAAGTCGTCGAATAGCTCATATAAGTTACAGCCTGATCTGAAATATTCTTGTTATACCCTCAATTCAGTAGTATACTGTAAGCCTCGTTTTCAGTCAAGAAAACAACGTTGAGCTGTTTGAAGTTTGGCAACACGATTGTCACTGAAATTTACTTCGGAGACACATTATTTTACGAAAATTCATGTGGATCAACTTGTAGCGACTTTATTTTTGTATGAGGAGGAGAATAAGAAAAATTAAAAACACTCAAGAGGAACTAAGCTTA